TATGCTTTTTCTGAATTTATTCTTCCAGATGGAAATAATCATAGATCTTTCAAATGTAATATTTCCAATTTATGACCAAAAGACAAAGGAGTGTATAGAGTTTAAACACACACACGTCAGTTATTATAAAAATATAATCACAGTTCTGAGGGCAGGTGAAGGGGATGATTCATAAATTTTGAAGTTAGAATAAGCAACCCTCTAAGTGCTAAATATAAGTCAGTCAGAACATCTTCTTTACAGTATAAGAATCTCTTGAAGAGAAATATATAGACATGCTTTTATCTAATGCTGGTAAGTTCAGATGGGCAAAATGTTCTATGTACAAACTGTTCTGCTCATGGAGCAACTGGTTTAGGATGGTGTTTTCTTGAATTAAACGTGCATTTGGCATAATTTGGTCTGCATGTGACAAATAACTGGGATTTTGTTTCAGATATGAAATATCTGAAGGTGAAATATTGTTATTCCAGGCAGAAGGGATTCAGGTGGTTTGGGACAGAAAAGAACCAAAGTACAGGAATTTCTTAATGATGACACATCTGGACATAATTATCAATGTTTCATGGGAAGAAGGAAAGGAGGGAAAGAAGTGAAAATGAAGGGAAGTTTGAAAGTTGAGTGGATTAGCTATTCTAGGAAAAATGTGTTATGACCCAGGTGGTCGGGGCAAGGCAGGACCCTAAAGAGTTCTTTATTTCTCTTAATAAATGTTTCAACCAAAGGCCCTCCAACAACTGGTTACATGATCCCTACGCTACTTAGACTCCCAAACTCAGTCACAGTAGTACAAAGAAAGTCCACAGAATAGAAGCATGCTCACAGGGCAAAGTCCAGGTTTCTAAGTCCCATCCACCAAGCAGAGCCCAGGCACAATACAAAGGCAGTCCTCAGGATAAGAAACAATTCACAGAACAGAAGCAGTTCCAAAGCCCTAGTGAAGTAGAGACCAAACACAAGCCACAAGAGAAGGGCTAGGTCCGAACCAAAATCCAAAGAGCAATCTTCCAAGCAAGGCAAGGCAAGGGGCAAATAGGCACGAGTCAAAGGCAGGGGAGTGTAGGCCAAAGCAAACAATTGTTCCTGGCAAAGACTAACTCCCCATAGCTTCTCTTTAAGTTACTCCCTTCCAGGTGTTCTTTATGAGGAGTGGTTAGGCGACTCCCAAGTAGCCTTGCAGCCCTTCTCTGGGCTTGCCTATGTTCCACTCTCCTAGCCATTGGATCAGTGGAGTAGACAGCTGTTTCTCATTAGAGGAGATTGGCTGCCTATCAGGACCACAGCCAGTCAGCAGCTGATCCTCTCCTGCGTCTATGCAGGCAAGCAGCTCTATGTCTGGTCGACCACCTCCCCCAATGCCTGAGGGTCCTGGGACAACATTGTCCTCAGCCCTTGGCATGCCTCCCCTGACAGTCCCAGTTCTAACTCCTCCTCCTCCTCCTCCAAACTGAGCTCTGAGGGGGCCATGACACAATATTCCTTACTGCTAAGACCAACATGGTAAGGAACAAGGTCTTTGTAAGTGAAGTTCTTCCATAGGAGCAGTGAAAATGGCCAGCCCTCAGATTCCAATTCCCAATCTTGCCTTATTTGCTCTGCCCATGAAACTACTCCTATAGAATTACCCCAGACTCAGGATACTAGCTACCCTAACTGGCAGTAGGAGTTCTGTTCTCCATTTTCCTTCTCAGTCACCAACTTGCTCAATCCAAGTGTTGTTCCTTTTAAATTACCCAGAGAAAGCATCCTGAGAGAACCAGCAAATTAACAACTACATCCTGCTAATGATCTCTCCATCCTCTTTTAAAACACAGCTGTTAGGCCCCAAAACATTTTCTTGGATTCCTGTCTAGATCTTGAAGAGGCATGGATGTTGGGGAAATTCTCAATCCCCCAAGTATTTTTCTCTGCTAGCTCCTGCACAACCTAGCCTCAAAGGTGGCAAACCCAAAGAGTGGGTGGGCTTGGTATTTTTATGGTTTCCAACTTAAGTAATCAAAATGTAGAACAATCACCTTTGTTTGAGAATGTATATCAGCTTTGTTAGTCTTTGACAAATTTTTCTTATTGTGTTGTAATTTATACCTTCCTACTCAACAGCTCTCTTTACAGATAATCCAAACCCAAACCAAGTTGATACCTTCCTTAATCTTAGCCTGAATGATGTTGGTGTCCTACTGCATATATTCTTATAGGTGGTATTTCAGTTCAAGAGCAGGTTGTAATGATGAAATCCTCTATGGGCAGGCTTCAATGCCTCTCCTCCTGAAGAAGTAATTCAGTCACCATTTATGTCTAGATCCTTCAAAGATACAAAACATAACCTAACTGGCTTTTCGCTGCTACATCTCATATATGGGCTTAACCTACAAACGTTAAATGGGTCTGTCAAAAATAGGTTACCTGGGTAATATACATTTTGTTCATTCACAAGTCATCCAACAAAGTTTATTTAATAATTTCTAGAAATCTGCTTCCTTGCCTTATTGGTGCATTTTGGTGCAGTCCTCAGAATTGAAAGTGACTATTTCTCCTTAACTTCCCTTTGCAAATAAGGCAAGATCTATTTAGGAACCCACATAAGATCCATTTAAAATGTCTGGCCAGAGTTGGCTCTTATAGATGGAATGGCACCCTTGAAGATAGGATAGCTCAATAGTTTTACTCAGAGGAAGGAATAGCAGACTTTTCAACCCTCTATAACTTAAGGGCATACTCAGACCCAACCATCCCACAAAAATAGCTGAATTCTGATCTCATAGTTAAGCTACAGCCTTTTGTAACAAAGGTAGAAGCCAATCTGATCAGGAGTGAATGGAACTCAAAGAATTGGTTTGATAAATCTTGCATCGCTGCCAAAGCAGCAGTAGTGGAATCTTATGCTACTTTACTCAAGGCCAACTTATTAGATTGCTCCCAAATTTTAAAAGAGCAGAAAAGACAACATAAGACCCTACTCAGAAAAATACTTAAGAAAGAATGGTCATAGCTAATCAAAGCCACCAAGTTCAAAAATCCCTTCCTATTTTGGCATACTATAACAAACTGTTCACTTAGCCACATAAAAACAATTCCATTGCAGTTTCCCCTCAAGTGTCTGGGTATACCACTTCTAAGTACTTTATTGCGATCTGCATGCTAACACCTATGTGAGATTATTCTCACTAGTGCTGTTGCCCTCAGTCATATGCAACTCCTTAGTCAACAGTCTCATTAACCAGTTTAAGTATGGTAAAGTCCCCAGGAGTGACTGTACCCCCTTGAGGTAATTAAATCCAATTCAAATTGGTATGCCCCTGTACTGGCCTCTTAATTTTCATATATTAACCACACAACTAATATTTCAAAGCACTGGGGCAGGGGCAGTGATTACTGTCCCCTTATACAAAAAGTCTGATAAGAATGATTTGGCTAATTATAGGCCAATTAATCTATTGAACATAATTAGCAAATCATGTGCCAGATAGTTACTTATTAAACTCTAAACCTGGGTAATAGAGGATGGAATAACTGACCCAGGGCAAGCACGTTTTCAACTGGGACTATAGACCATTGTCTGGCACTTCAAAATTTAGGAGACAAATGCACAAACCACTCTGACTTTAATCTATATGTGCCCTTTATAAATTTCACAGCAGTTTATGATGATTATCTCAAGGATAAGACTTTGGAACATTCTGAGCAGATCCTCTACAGACAGAAAACTCTCCTATTCTATAAAAATATGATAAAATTGGCCTTAGAGTAGGATGTAATCAGACAGGTGACCTTTCCAACTTCATGTCAAGAGAATGAAACAAGGATGTATTCCAACACCATTGTTTTTTTAACATACATATCAACTCTCTGATTAAAACCCTTCAGAGAGTTGATTTCCATGGACCTAAACTAGCCGATAGACACATCCCAATTTTACTCTTTGATGAAAATGCAGTTCTTTTCTCCTTGACTTCTGTAAGCATAAACAGGCACTAAGAACCCTGGCATCCTACTATAATGAGGAACAATTAATAATCACTAATAAAGTTTTAGTTTTTTTTCTATCAAAAGACAAAAGCACAATTAGACAATTCATTCCCATAATTACAACAAATTGGAACCACACTAATGAAATGTATGTTTATTGCTTTTTAAGGGATGCTAACCCCACGCACATATATACAGTATATTTGCCCTAAAATGGGTTTATTCATGAGGGTAATTCAGACTCCATCCAGGTTTAGTTAGCCTTCCCTTGTCCTCATTCCCTGATTCTTAAAACATCTATAAAATATTGATTAGCCTGTTTTGCTGTGCTCTAAAAGAATTTCCCCATTAATGCCAGATCTCTCAGACAATTCAAATCATTTAGACTTTAAGCTTTATTTGGAATTGGTTGTTATTAGATATAGGTGCTTGTTGCTATTATATAACAAAATGTACTTGTGACATAGAAGTTACCAGTTCCCTATGTTCTGCAGCCTATGCTTTGCAGTAGAAAAATTTTATGTTCAGAATTCAAGTAATTTCATTTTCTAATAACAACCCCATTTTATCAACTACACTGATGTTCATATATTCTTACAACTTTGCTCATATGCATGTATGTTTATGTTATCTAAAAGATCCAGATAGTGTGTTATAAGGAAAGCCTGTTTGGAATAAGAGCAAATAATGCTACAGTTTGGAGTGCTTCAATTCAGCTAGTAAGGAACTTGAGGAAAAGAGATACATGTATATCACTTTACTATGAAGTTCACAGATGAAGAATGGGATTCAAAGGTCTTAACTTTTATCATGACTTGCAAGATATTAATAACGCCTTCTTTCTAGATCAAAACATATTGCTCCACCATCTTAAGTCAATGTATTCATTATTTTCTCCAGAACTTCTCACTTTCTGAATTACAGCTATTTATAGCAACATTGTGCATCTTCTTTTACTAACCCTTAATGTAGAGTATAACTTTCCAGTTCATGGCAAAAAAAACTTCTCAGATAAAGCATAGTGCTAAACTCACATCATAGAGGAGGTTAGTCCACCCTTCCATGGTGATACACTGGAAGACAGTCAGCACAGCGAAGAGGATGTTATCAAACTGTGTTATCCCATAGTTGGGTCCTTGCCAGTATTCTTTACACTCAGTCCCATTAGGGCAGAGGCGTGACGTTGCTTCTTTCCCACATGGAGCTTCTTGCATGATTTCATCTAGGGAGGGAAGAAAAAGAGGCCCTCTAGTAGACTAGGGCAAGCAGATAAGAAACTGCAGGAGGCAGAAAAAATGGTGGTATCACTTGCCTTGTAACAGCACCGGCTGTTCTTCAAGAAGTCCCTTCCTCCAAAATTATGGCTCAGGGTACTCATACAGACATATTTTTCCCTCCATGCAGTGCTTTTTCAGATGCTGTACAGCCATATAGAAAAGCAGAAACCAGCATGGTTTGGGTTTTAATTATTTGCTCCTCCAAGGAAAGTACAGGGACTGCCCAGATGTGTTTTTCAAATGATACAGGCTATTTGCCTCCACAACTTAACACTGCTTCCCCCCTCAAGTCCAATGCTTCCTGACTTCTGATGGGTTACCCACCTTTATTTTGCAGGCTGATGTAGTTAAGAAGCTTACTTGACTTGAAAAAAAATATCCTCTGTGTTTCGGTAGTAGAGAGAAAGCAAGAGTGTTTTGTGAAATTTGCCTATTGGTGATCTGCAAATCTATTCTGCTTAACACCCTGGTAGTTAAATACATGCCTTATATCAAACTCCGTACTATCTATTCTGATGGGCAGCAATTCTACAGATCAGGAAAAAATTGTGTCACAAGTTCCTTCCTGAGTATTTAATTTTGCTTTTTTAAAAGCACTTCCTAAACAAAGTGGTATAAAAAAGTTACAAAATGTGATGGCAGCACAGTATTCAATAACAAAATGGCTCTCTGTTTCTACATACACTTGTACATATATCCTCAATTACAACATAGTTGTTAATGTACATCAGTTTATATTTTCAGTCCACAGTATATTCAAAGTTCATTAGGATTGTACAACACACACTTTGGGATTTGATTCAAAAAATTTACTTGAGAATCTACCGAGGTGCTGATGAAGAACTGAAAGGATTAGTTGTGACACTATGCAGCTCTAGGGTTCATTACTGTTACTAACTCAAATTGATTAAATATATCCACATTTAACGAGGAATAACATAGAAATTGTCAAGAAATACTTAGTCCCAAAGGTGCTTTTTCAAAAGGCAACAGGACTTGGTTGAGAATAAGCAAAGTCCAGTTGTTGTTTTTTGAAAAAAGGACCTTTGGAACAACTATGATCAGGATGAGTGAAAATCTCCATAGACAAGAGATACTTAGATTCAATTTATAAAAGAAAGTATAGATTTATAGATTTGTATTGTATACAGGGAGGAGCTTCCCTCTTTATTTGTTGCTGTGGCAACACATAGATTAGCATGCTTCTCCATGATATGGAGTGAATCATGTACCAAGTGTAAATAGACTATGGAAGCAAAGTTCAAGTTTCTTTTAGTTGCTCTTTCCAGAAAAACAATAGAAGCCATCAGTCTTTCTTAAAATGAGTTCATATAAAGAAAGTTTGAGATGCCCTATTGTGATACTATGTTTCATTCATAATGCAATTTTTTTCCTCTTAGCATGTTTTATAAATCCATCAGTACTCTGGGATTGGTTTCTGCAGAAACAGAACTATGTTTTTCTAAATCTAACTCTTTGGGGAATGTTGTGTATAAGTATAAAAAGATATTAACCACCCGGCCTGTCTTTTGACTTACATTCCTCTTACTTAGCTTATATTTCAAAGTAAATATAACTGATAATTCAACAAATATATTATGTTTTAACCATGATATGTTAAATAATCCATCATGGCCTAGTTCATACATTCATAAATCTGGCTTATAATTGGCATCATAAATTGCACTAAGCCAAAACAAAAAACAATTTGCAATATACCTTATATATTTAAATGAAATAACAGTTCACTTACATTTTAACAGAGATAATATTTGTCAAGTTACCTTTTTCCATTTAAAAAAACCCAGCTCTATTAACTTTTTAAAATTGGGTAGCTGGTAGGAGAATAGAATGCTTTTTACATACCTGTATGAATATCCTTGCAGGCGGTGTGAAATTTCCCCAAATAAAATTCTAACCCTATGATTGCAAAAATAAGGATTGCAAAAAATAGGAGGAGGCCAATTTGTAGCAGAGGTATCATGGCCTTCATTATGGACTTAAGGACAACTTGTAAACCTGCAACAAAAGAGAGAGCAGCAAACCTTATTGGAGTTTTAACAGGAGAGAGATAGAATTACACATTGCTCTTTACTTTGTTTATATTCTTCATCCTTCTTAACATGGCATGTGAGACCTATAAACCTTAAAGCAGGAGAAAAAGGAAAGCTGTTCCATGTAATACATGGAGTTATTGTGCCAATTCTTTTATTAATGAATGGCCAAGACCAATAATTTAAGATTTTTAACAAAAGACTCTAACAAGTAAATAGCAGTCAGAAGTGTCAAAGCTTCTTATAAAACTTCTACATTTATTAGGACCTATTAAAATTCATTTTGATAATTATATTGTACTGGGATAATTTACATCCATGCAATAACTTAGTTCCATTATTTGTAAAAGGTCACATTTGGCCAATTTTGTCAGTGTTCCAAAGGATAAGTAAAGTCAAGTATAGTTAATATTTGGACAGGAGTCCCCCAGAAAATTCCAGGGCTGTTGGCTAAACTATGAAGTTAAAAAAAAAGAATAGAAAACATTCTGGAAGAAGGGACTATCTATATTGTTGCCAAGTAAAACTCAAAACAAAGGTTATCAAGAAAATAGATTGGAGAATCAATACATTTTAGAAACTTCTCTAACTATATATAAATATATATGGCTTAATGGCTTAAAAAGAAATGGAGATGAGTACTGCCCCTAAAGTTGGTTACTATTAACAGAATAAAACTGCATGGACTTCTTTATCTTTTTTACCTTTATAATTATATATGAATATATATAAACTTTGGAAATATATACTTATATATACATAATAAATGCACTTTCGTGTGATATCTTTTTTTCATATGGAGGAAAATGAGTACAATATAGTGATAGTACACTATTTTGTGCCTTTTAAATCCTACTGCATTTAATGGAGCTAGCTTTTAAAAAAAGAGGATTATCGCCTGAGACTCATAAAGAGAGGACAGATACTTTGATTAGATAATGGATTTCATGCATAGGCTTAAAGTAAAAATGGGCTTTCCAGTGGATGGTGACAGAAGTAATCAAATCATTAAAGGACAGAATATAAGCTGTCTAAGTACTAATCTATATGAAAATGGTAAACTGTGTCAGAGCATGGTCATCTAAATAGTTGCTGTCCAGTTGAAAGATATTAATTAAAAGCTACTTACTTGGAATTCCCGACACTAACTTTAGTGGCCGGAGTACACGAACTGCCCGCAAAGTTCGCAAGTCAAATTCAGTACCAACTGTTGACAAAATGCTGGAACATTAAAAAAAGAGAAAAAATGTTGATGCTAGAAATGTGAACTATTTCCACAACCAGGAAGAAATGTGGATTTTCCTTTGATGATATCCATTATTTGCTTAGAAAGGATCCATGACTATCCAAAGTATGTTGAGATTTTCACATTCCCCATCCTTCTGAAAATTACTAACTTTGCTGTGGAAATCATTAATTTGTTAAGACTACTGTTCTTTAATTCTGTACTCTCAGTAAAAAAAAGAATATTAACCTCTTTACCCCAGGGCTGTATAAATTTTCAAAATTTCACTTCCAATAAGACAGAATGTCTTATTCCAAATTTGTAGGGGCATTGTTTATCAAAACTAGGGGGGCTACCGAAATGCTTGCCTTAATTGCTTCCAGGTGGACTTTTTCTAGGATGGCATTTACAATAAACCCTTAGTGGATCATCAAAGCTTTTGGTTCACAACATATATGAAAAAGTAATTCCTTCTGGTAAGCAAGATTCAAATCATAGTGGAATTTATATTCTAGCCTTCGTATCCTGAATTTGTAAACTCAGTGCTTCTTTACCAGAGAAAATATAAGGCAGAAGCAGGTCACCATGTTCTGTACCCCTGCAATTTCTGAGTTTTCTTCAGAGGTGACTCTAGATAAGAGTGTATTACCATGATCTACTTGGAAAGGTAACAACAAATGCATAATGGTGGCCAGGTCAAATCTCTGGGTATAGCTTCCTGCAATAACACCAATGGAACTGCAAAAAACTGCAGTACTTGGAACATCATACATTTTAAGAAGATACTTGGTTGACACATAGGATGCTGGCAGCAACCCATATCAACCATCAATGTCAGTCAATAAAATTTGTGATAAATTTTTAAATGTTCAGTTGACTGAGTTTCATTTTAATGAATAAAATGATGATGATGATGATGATGATGATGATGATGATGATGATGATGATGATGTCAATGATATTTGTGATATTTGTAATTCCCCATTAGGAGAATGAGTGCACACAGGAAGACGTAGTGAGAGTGATGTTGAATAACACACAACCAGCACACAGATACACTGTATAGTAAAATGTAGGTTTTTACTTCCAGTAAACAGTTAAGCAAAGTCCAACAAGCAGTCCAAGTCATACACGGTTATAGCAGTCAGTTTTCAGTCCAGGGATAATCCAATACAAAGTCCAGTATCAAAAACAGTTCAGTAACAGATTTACAGTAATCCAAGAAGAACGATGATCAGCAACAGTCAATAGGGAAATATTCAGGAAACAGCGAACATCAGAACATCGACCAACTAGCAACTATCAACAACAGGACTAAACAACCCAGGTTTCTGGCTCCATCTTATGGCCATTTGATGAACCACACCCAATTACAATTTTAGCATTCCCTTAAAGAGACAGCATTAAATGTCTATCCTGGTTTATATATTTCCAACCCAACTGTTAGGTGACTTACATTTCTAACAATACATTTTTAAATGTTCAATTGATTGAGTTTCCTGTTTAATGAATAAAAGAGATAATAATAAACAATTGGATAAACAATTTTAATATCAATAATTGTTTCAGTATGGAGCTCTTCAGCATAATGGCATTTACTACATTTAGTAAAACATAGGTTCACTGGGCCAATAAAAAAGAATTTAGCGACCTAAACTCAATTATATTATACTAGACCAAACAAAGATAGTTTAATATTAGGTTCCCTCCCGACCTAGGAAAATACTCTTTTGTAAAAAGCAAATGCCTATTCAAATATTGAACATATTGAAAAGAATGCAGCACTATTGTTGGTAGTCCTAAGCATGCTTGGGGGATGGGAACTGCAAGTTTGGTAGGCATACAGCCAGTGTATTCCCATTATGTACCTGTTAACTCTCTTGTAATCCTTTCCTCTCCAATATTTATAATGCAAACATTAATTATTTTCTTGCTAATTATCCCAGAACCAGGGTGAACATTTCACATCATAAGCACAGTTGCAGTTCTATGATTTCCCAGTTAGTGACTGAGTTGCTGGTCCCAATTGTGACTGCTAAATGAGGATTATCTGCACATCTGTAGATTGCATTTGTTCACTATCTTTTAAGAGAGCACACTCAAGCCAAGATAAGACACATATCCACATTGTTCTTTATTTAAGCTTTTAACCCATTTGAACATCTGGCTTCTCTTTTTTGATATAGGGCTCTAATCAGTGTTGGATGAACCTAGGCCTTTTTTTTTTTTGCTAGCCTATTAATTTATCCTATGAATTTAAGGCTACTGTACAATGGTACAGTACATCCTTGCACATCCAAGAAATAAAAATTAATCTGGGAAATTAAAATATTCTTCTCCGACACCTGAAGCTTTATAAATGAAAGATGAGGAACAAAAATGTTCCAAATAGTAGCCTCCAAAGACATCAATATTATATCTAACCACCCACAAATTTTATTTTAGATTCATATTTATTAGTAAATGCTAGCATATAATTTGCTAATATATCATCTACTTTATACCTTTGTCTATATAGGATCCAAATCTCAGTATTCAGTAATCACTCATGCTAAATACAATAAGAGATAGAAGAAGCTGTGTTTTCCGTGCCTCTTAAATTAAAAGGAATCAGTAATCACACAGTGATCACTTTACTTTTACGGAAGAATACATTATTTTAATCCATGTTTTTAAATCCTAAAGAACATATTGAAACAATAAAAAGAAATGCTGTATTGCCAGTACATTTTTCAGCTATTTATCCACAGAAAAACTGAATTCACCTTAACATTTTATACTGATAAGATTTACTAATAATCTCAAATTCTCATATAATACAAATAAATTGCATTTTGGACTTGGTCAGCAACATAATATTTTAACATCTTATTTATTAATGATACAATCAACATAATTGATTCAATAAAAGATTGTTTCATGTCAATTGACTTTTCCATTCTTTTAGAAAGAAACTGACAGGTTTACCTAATCACTAGAGATATGGTGCTCAAAGTTCAACATTGGTTATATGAAATAGTGAAATGTTACGCTGGCTCTTTTTGATAGAAACTATTTCATGTAATTATTATATTCTAGAAAACATAGTTTTTTCTAGAAGCTCCTTTTTTAAAAATTATATACCATCTATTTGGAAAATAATAGGAGGATTTCAGAAATGGGTATTTGTAAAAAACCTCCATAATCCCAGGATTACATGAGACATTTGCCATCCATTTATTTATTTTTAATTACATGAGACATTTGCCATCCATTTATTTATTTTTAATGAATAAATAAATAAATAAATAAATTTTGTCAAAAGCTTACAATACAATAGAAATAAGAATAAACATAAGTTTAAATATAAGAAATAGGAACTAATAATTGGGGACAATAGGACAGGGATGATTGGCACGATAGTGCGCTTATGCATGCCCCTTTATTTAAAAAACACACTTTTCTTTATTTAAACAATTTTATCATGAGACATCTCAATTGAAAGGTTTAAATGAAATGTAATGTATCCTTTTCATTTAAATAAATGAAATGTATCCTTTCATTTATTAATTTATATGTTAAATTTCTCAAATTTTAATTAAGTGTATTTAAAATTAAATGACTATATAATATGACATTTAAGTCTAGTCTTTTATTAAAATAAAAGAAAATTTGTTTTGTGATGTCTTTCCTCTTGCAGCATCTTCTCTGTTTTTCAAACCTCAAAATGTCTTAGAGTAGGATGCCTTCTCACATTAAAAAAAATTCCTTTATTGATTATTGGTTATTTTGCTCCACCTATGGCCTATATTATTTAATGTTGTTTTTGTAAAATTTCATTTCTCTGAACCCATGACATATTCTGTTTTTCAAACCATGCAGATTTTTCTTTTACTAAACTTATTAGTGTAAACTGCTCAGTCTATTTTACTTATACCAGCCAACTTTACTCGAGATAAAAGTAATAGTTTAACAATCCATCTTCGGAACTATTGGAGTTCTCTAACTCAGTGGTCACCAACTGGTAGGCTGTGGCCCACTGGTGGTCCACGAGAAAATTTTGGTGGGCTGCAAAGAAATGTCACCCCAGAGCACCCCCCAAAGCAATTAATCCAGGCTGCACGGGAACACATGGCTGCACCACCCACATGGCCCGTGGGAACCCTTCCTGCTAAGGGAGATATTTTTCCTTTTTTTCCCCTGACCATTAGCTGTTCTGCTGTACTGGGAGATTTAGATTAGCTAGAAAGCAGGAAACCATTGGATTTCTTGCTTTCTAGCTAATCTTTAGATCTGCTTTTAAGCAGAGCTGAACCTTCCTTAGGACTGAAGCTTCTATTATTCAGTGCAGACTCAGGTAGCCGATGGCAGAAAGATAGATCTCTGAGTGAATCTGTGATTCTGTGAGCAACTCAATCTGCCTGCCTGCTTTGCCTGATTTTGGGTAAAAGTTGCTTTTTTAATAAAAAAAATCAATATTTACATCAATATTTATAATATTTACATACAAGCCATGCCCAGCCAGTCACATGACCACCAAGCCACACCCACAAATTAGGCCATGCCCACAGAACCGGTTGTTAAGAAATTTGAATCCCACCTCTGTCTCTGCGTGTTTGGGGGGGGGGAGAGAGAAGGAAAAAGAGAGGTTAGATCTCTCTCTCCCACCAACATCAGCAAGCCACCATCAGTCAAAATTCATATTAGTGGTTCACGGGATTTAAAATTATGAGTTTGGTGGACCTTGAGGTCCAAAAGGTTGGAAACCCCTGCTCTAACTCATAAAACTATTACTGTAGAACATCTTTAGCTATACACAACTTGTTCTCTTCAGAACCTTCTCTGATGCTGTGTTACTCCATCTCTAATGTCAGCATAAAATACAATCTGAATACCAACCTACTTGCTGCCCTTCCTCCTCCTATGACAGCTTTTCTGAGAATCTAAACTAATCTCTACTTTCATTTCTTATTGACAATACAAGTACAAACAGGTTGTTGTTTTTTGCATCTGCACA